GGCCTAAACCACGACTGGCATGTTTGATAAATATTGACATCTGCTAGCAAATCTGATCTTGCTTATGATGTCCATATTCCTAAGAACAGTAAAGATTTTAGGGACAACATAATTATGTGACCCAATTATGGGTGCAAATAGTGCTTTAGATTAAAAGCACACACGCCTTGTACTTTCCCCACCTCACTTTAACAAAGCAATGTAAAAGAAAAAAGAACAACAATTTTAAAAACAATTTCCCTTTTCCCTCTCTCAAAAATACATAGATAAATTAGTAGATATATATTGAAAGAAAAACGACGCTTTTTGTGTTCTTGCAAATGGTAAAAACAAAACGATAAGAGTACATAGTAGAGTCTCAATTCATTAGATATAGAAAATTGTCGAGATTTTATGATCCGCTCTAGAAATACATGTGAACATCAATGTGAAAGCAATGACCATTGTAGGGTTTTAGTAGACAAGGCCATCGGAGAGGAAAATCACATCTTTTCTTAAGCGACTTATTCATTAGGTTTCGCATTTACCCTACCGAACGAACTTGTAATTAATCGATTATAGATGTTTCGAGCAGAACGCACCACTTTTTTTTCATTTTCCTTTTTGTTTGCTTTTACCTATTTAATCCAAGCTAATGAGTGCAAAGGCCTAAGGAAAAGAAAACAACCCTTAGTGGAGTGCATGCACGAGTATATGATTGTAACTGAATCTCAACACACCCTTCTTCTTTAGTTTTCAGCATACAAACTAAAGATCCCAACCCACTATCTTAAATGTGAAGTAACACTGTTATAATAACACATATATGTTCATGCATTAGTAAATAGAACAGCACAGATAATCATATTGAGGATCGTCCCTTCCAGCCTATGAAAACTAGTCGATATAGTCTTCTATCAATCTCCTTGAAAGCTTCATTTTCCAAATTCTTCTAAGATATTAAACGTGTGGCAAGTATCGATTCTGTATTCTGGCGGCATCAGCGCATAAACGGTGCACCTCTCTAGTATGCTCATGCTATGTAGCAGCAAGGAATTCAGACAGCATAGAGAACGAAAACAACACGAGTAGAACCAACAACTTTAGTCGACAACAATCCTCTGCAGACAAGAAAAATAAGGTGAATGAAAGATCATCTAACAGTGAAATGGCTTACAGAAGGAACAGAAGCATTGCATCAAATGGGATTCATCAAATTGAATCACCTTTTCCACTAAAGAGTAATATTAAGAAGGCTGCAACAACAGGAACAAGAAACGTTAGTTGGTCTGATGCACATGGCAAAGATATTGCTGATGTTCAAGAATTTGAGTCGAGGTATGTTATTACAGGCCTCAGCTCCTACGGTTCTTTTCTTTTCAATAATTGATATATACTTAATCATGGACAACATTTAGCTATTTTGGAGAAATGCGCTGAGATAATGAGGCCTAGTAGCCTCCCAAATTGTATAGTACTAGACTTCTCTTCTATGTTTGATTACTGACCGAAAATAAACATTTCCAATCATAATTTTTGTGCAAAGTGCATCTCTAAAGAGCCCAATTTGCCTTTTTTTTACGTGCTCGGGCTGATGCTAAGTGCAAGTTGGCATGCTGATTTGCACCATTATTTTGGCTGGCATAGGGTGTTCCACAAGATTGCATTTGCATAGAAACAACTGAGAGTTTTAACCCATTAAATGGTATAATCTAAGTAATTTGCCAACTCATTAACACATTAATTAAGCACGAAATCCACTAGTTATTATCTCATATATAGTTAAAAATGTTGGTCCTCCCTGTTCTCTGCAATGCCAGGCCGGATCGAACCATTTGACACCTCTAGGTTGGTGAAGAGAGATGGGTTCAGTGTTAAACTGTACTTTGTGAAATATTTGTGAAAATAAAAGAAAAAATGTCATTCTGTTTATGAAAGTAGAAGAGTTACTTGTTCCTTGTATATCCCATTTTGAATAATTTGTTGAACCTGAGCGCTCAGAAGAGTATTTTCTGATATTGTTTTATTACTTTTAACAGTTTTTCAGAAGAAGAACTACGAGGAGTGCGCAATTCTTGTACGTGTATAATTCAATGACGAACATATAATCCTAACCTTATGGAAGCGATATCTAGAGGGATAAACTTGTGTATCCATTTCATATAGTACTAAATGTCCATCTGATGATTTTACCGTTATCAGGAAAATGAAGGAAACATCTTCAGAGTTTATTTCATGACTTTGACAATATTAACGTCAATATTTTATGCTGCATATTGGCTTTACACAAGGAAAATGAATGATTGTCTTTGTATAGGGAACAAGCAAAATGAATATTACAATCGACATTTTCTTTTTCACAAGTAAAAGTTCAATTTGCCACAGACCAACGGAGACTACCAACGAAAGAATAAGTGAATATCTCGCGGCAAAACTAACGTCAGATCAAACAATGGCTAATTTTATCAACCCAAAATGAAACAACAGTACATGGTCCTTAAAAGTATATGCAAGAGTCAGTTCAACTATTTTAAACCCCAACACAACGTGTCAAATTTCTTTTCCTTCACCCAAGTGAGATTCTGATCTCTACTTCTGACTCTTTCCTTTTTTAAGTTTGCTTTTTTCCTGCATTTTCTTTTTCTTTGCTTCAGCTGTAATCCATGTATAGTCAGGTGGAATTGCAAATGGATCTTGAACGGTTTCAATCCTACTGGTCGAACCACCTGTATGAAAACTCGGGTGAGGAGACTTTATCCATCGGAACCAAGACGAACTGGAGGGATTCATCACTGAAGGGCTCTCTCTGCCTGCAGCAGTGGGACTTGAAGGGGGGGTAGAGAACTCATCCAATGGCTGTAATTCTTCGAACTTTGTAAACGTAACCAACACTTTGATTGTAGGGACCACTGGAATAGCGACCTGAAATGAGAAAAGGTACCTTAGTTACAGGTAAGAAGATAAAGAGTGATTTTAAAACAGATAGTCACAGCCTTAGGCAAAGTAACCATGTGACGCTTAGCTCTCACAAAACCGGCCTCATGGTCTACCTAAGTCAGCACGAGTGATATGAAAGTTTGATTGGAAAGTAAGATGTGCATGGGACTCTCAAGCTAACGCTTCGGTTGTGCCAAATATTGAGCACTCTACTCTGCCAACCAAGATTATATCACTTGGACTACCTCAGCTAGACCAGGAGCAACGGATTTGAGGAAGCCAAAGTGTTGCACGGCTACTTGGAAAGTCGAGTCCCTGACATGATGTGCTCATGAATTGTGTTAGGGTTGATGCTCATGCATTGTGTTAGGATTGATGGGATGCTCCTAGTTGACACAAACAATAGCCTCGTAATGTTTATAAAGGCTCAATTGGGTATTGAGGTATTTACCTATGTTTATAAAGGCTCAATTGGGTATCGAGACTCAAGACAACCAATAAAATATTTCAGAAAATATAAAAATACAAAATATTCACTTAATAAATCACAATCCACAATAAACATCCATCTAAAAATTGTAACTTTAAACAAACATAAAATAGATTAATGAAGTAGCAAATAATGTGTTCTCAAATTAGTAAATCATGTAACAAAATGTGATCAACTACTAGAAGTAGAAATGACCTAAAAGTTTCTAATATAATCACTACTAATAGAATCTCAAAGGGAATTATAATTTCCCTTGAGGCGAAAGTCTGGGTAAATCAAGGGATAAGCATCACAAATGGCAATTAAGGCGATTTATGAAAGCCTCGTGTGAGGTGGAATTCGAAGGGTAAGACTTGAGATTTTCTTAAACAATGAACGTGTGATATATACAACATTTTGAATCATCATTGCTGCAGAAGGGATCAACTCTAATGAAGATTGTAATGATTACAAGAACAGGCTGTGTATATCACTTCTCTAAACTAGCTACAATAGTTCACTTTAAAAGGGAGTTCTGAAAGAAAATCTTCAACCAGCTTCTTTATTCCTAATTATATCTCCTTCTCCAAGTGTTCAATGGCTTCATCTGGGAAGAAGATAAGATAATTTGGTTCAAAAGTGAACTGCTGGAATTGATTGTAAGTTTCTGTAAATGGATTGACAGAGGTACCAATATAGTTTTAATTGAGCAGGATTTTGGTCAGTCTTCATAGGACAGATTTTCTGTAGTCTTTTTACCACATTAACTCCATATTTATTGGAGTTTGAGATTTACGGAAAAATCAGCACATAGATGCATGAGGTGCCTGCACACACTGGAATTAATCTATGGTAGATTGGCCAGAAGATACCAGGTTTTTGGAATAAAGTGCAGGATTTCTATTTGCACATTCATGATTCAGGTCTCTCTCTTCCCTTTCCTACTACAGTTAATTGAAAATCTATCCAACAAAATTCTGCAACAGGCTCACCAGTGCCATCGTAGTGGTGAGCCAGCATAGGAGACTATACAATTTTCCAGTTGTTTGTTGCTTCAGAGAATTGGACTAGAATGGGAAGTAACTTCGGGGATCTTCAGAGAGAGATACATTCTAGATAAAATTAAACTTCTACTGAAAAATTATTGTTCTCCAAAAAATTTCTATCATCCTCCCCATTTCCCCTTAAGAGAACAGCACTACACATTAAAAAGTGGGGTAATTAACTATCTTTTTTTCATGGATCGTTAGATGATAGAGATGGATGTAGAAAACTATGCAATGGACAATTGACATCTACATTTTAGAGTTAAATGTAAGACAATATTGATGAGCTCACTTATATATATTGAGGGAATAACTATACAGCAAATAATCAGATATTGCAATATAAAGTATCTCAAAACAGTAGCTGGAAACATTTGAAGACTTAGTTCAGTGCATATAATATATGCTGAAGCATTTATATTATGTTGTCTAGAAAAACTGAATTATGTATCATAATTTTCAGATATGTATTTTGTTAAAGGGTGCATATCTGATCATAAAATGCATCAGCATCCTAATTCTTAGGATACAATTTAATATAACTATTTTGCACAATTAATCTGAAAACATCACAAGAGAAAATGTATAAAACCAAATTGCATAGGTTCACAATTGGATGTGGACGTCATTAATTGCATTAAAAATCACCTTTCACATAAATATCTGGTCATACAACATCAAGATCATATGTCATGCTAACTTCTCAGTTAGTAGCATTTATCTGATAGTTGACAGCTTTTGTGCACAAGAATTGCTTTTAAATACTACCACCTTATCTTGGCATACACTACAATGGCCCACTCAAAATTTATTACATTATCAATCAAGTATAGTTGATCTTCACATCTCATGTTGACGAAAATATGGTCATCCACCCAACAAGAACAAATAAAACAAGTACTCCGAATCACCTTGATGAATTACTGAAGAATTATGTCATAGACGTTATGGAACTATGGTCATCCTCAAAGCAAATAATACCCATAACTCAAGGATTTATGATTAATGATAGTAAGCCCTTTCTAGTTGATGGAAATTTGTAGCCCACCAAATTATAAAATCTGGCATAGTATTGCTTCTAGTAATGAAACAATTTTTGAACCTTATGCAATCAAAACTAAGCATTTTCACTTTCCAATGACCCTTCCAAACCACCCAAAAATAACAATAATACATCAAAAAATGATAGACTCCAGCAACCTCCCATCCTACTGGTTACAATCACATCAACATACAGTCGTCCATCAAATTTCGCTACCTACAATTACTTGTAACAGTCGCAATTCACAAAAACAATGATCATCTACACTTCACGATAAGGAAATAGTCAAAATCCGCCAAATGAGGAAAGAAAAATATCAGCACCGTAGATGAAGGAAATACAATCACCACATGCTTTTGGAGAATGAATAAATAAACATGTGTATGCACAGTCTTAGGGCTCCAATTTTTATGGAATAAAAAACTCCAAAGGTTTGCTTATTATCCAATGGGCAACTTATAACGTTGTTATGTCTATTAGATTTAAGTAATGCCCTACAATTTATACACACCATAGAAAAAATGAAACCAGCCAAAAGTGAGATCCGAAATTGAAGCTTACTTGCAAAGAGCATTGATCAATTAAACCAAAAAGATTATAAGCATGTGTAGAACTTAAAGAGCTAATCTAGATATGAGGATGGTACCTTGACAGGGAAGGTCCCCTTTGGAAGTTTTGAAGTGAGTAACTCCCTTAATCGCCGGACAGCTTTAACTTTGTTTGCCAAAATGTCGAGCAGTGGTAGAAGCTCTTCAGTTTGTAGTGGGAATTCTGGAGAAAGCCAGAGAACAGGCCTCAGCCCTTTCTTGTACTCATTCTCACGGCTTCCATCCTTGCGTCGATTTCCATTGTCAGAGTTTGTTGATGAAGAAGCTTTGGAGTCCTTTACTTTCCGATGCTCATCCCGCTTCACAAAGACCTCCACAGAGTGCCTTCCAGGTTTATTTTGACTTCTAGAAGGAGAATCCTCTAGAAAATCACTAACCTTCTTTTCAGAGTATAGAGAACTCCTTGGTGGAACAATCTCTATATCCCCTTCTTGTTTATTTTCCCGTTTTCTCCAGTTGTTGAACCATCCCTTTTTTTCCTGCCTATTTTCTCCATTTCTACAACCATTTATATTTTCAATGGGAACGTCCCTTTTCTCATAACAACTATGGCGGTGTGGAATAATTCCATTTCCATTTTCATTGCTTAAATCTGATGAGTCTAACTTAAGTGCATTCTCAAGCTGCTGTTTCTCTTCCTCTGTCAATATATCATCAAGTTCCTCACTTTCTACTTCATTTTCATTGGAAGAGTTAAAGAGTTCATCATCCATCATGGCTCCAGGGACCCTCCTCGACTTAATACTCGCAACCACATTATGCATATCATATACTTTAGCTTTCCAAGGACCCACCATTTCCGTCTTCTCCTGTCGTCGCCATGTCGTTTGAGACAAAAGAACCGCTTGAGTGACATCAATCCCAGGCCTGAATATATTGGTTTGTGACATGGCAGTCACTTCCTGCTGCACTTCTGCCTCAGTTGCTGGAGCTCCAGCACCATCCAAAGCATTCACGACCTCCTTATCTTTGTGCGACACCATGCAAAGTGACCCTGGAGGAACTTTTCCATCCTCAGAACCATCACCAAGGAAAAGAATACTCTGATCCGAACGCTGAATTTTGAAACCATCAAAACCAGCTAAAGTCATATCTGCCCTCAAATTTGCATCCCTCTTCCATATTCTGTACGTGTCAGAAGGAGCAATTCTCGAAATGAAAGGGATCACTGAGCTCTCAAAATGAAAACTGATCTCCATGTAAAAATCCCTCATCCTTCTCATTGTCCCAATTAACCGAGGTAACCTTCTGCACCATTTTGCCCAAGCCAATGGCTGGTAATGCCGAACTATAATCTTTGCAACCCTTTCTTCCCTATTGCAAATTGCCTCCTGGAGTGCACTCCACCCATGTTCATTCTGCAAGCTCCAATCTGCCCCAGCAAGCATAAGCATCTCGGTAGCAGTGTCATCACCAAATTTGACAGCCAAGTGAAGAGGGGTGTCCCGATTAGGAACATCTCTTCGATCAATGACAGCTGAAATGGCATCAGCCTTAGCTTCCTCAGCAAGTGAAACTGATTCAGTGTGAATCTCAGCTGGGTCACAGAGCCGTGGGAGGCTTGCAATTATCCTCCTGAGAGCCACATAATCTTTCAAAATTATGGCTTTATGGACAGGGCTATGTGCGTACTTAGAAACCTCGACACCTGCCATGCCTCAGGAGTATATTCAAAGCCAACCCACAACTATATTATTCTAGTACCAATATTCAATTCAATCATCCAAGTTACACTAATCAATAAAAACCAAATCAAAAGTCCTGCTCCTAAATCAACCGCACCGTATGATGAATGAAACTGTCTGACTGCAACCGAATCAACTCTTCAAACCACTGATTCAAAAAAATGAAACATTCATTCACAAATTCCAAAAATTCCACAATAAAATATTTGAAAACTGAATTAAACCCAGTTCTATTACACCCAAAGAGCAACAAAAACTACATAAAGAAATCTCACCTTGTTCTTCTGCAGACAATGATTGGTGCTCTTGAGGCCCCTCGGCTACTTAACCCACCAGTTCCGCCTCTTTATTTTTCTCTTGAGTATATCAAACAAAAAGGGACGAGAAAAACGAAAAAAAACAATTATAGATCCTCGTGATCCAATCCAAATCAGACAAATGAAAGAAAATACATGTGGGGTGGTGCAAAAGAACCAGAATTAATAAAAAAATCCGAATCTGAGAAAAGTCATGGGTTGAGAAATGAGAAACTGAAAAGTGGCAGAATCAAAGAAAAGAACTTATTTGCTAATAGAAAGAATGGTGCCACACAACCCCACCAGTAAAGGAAAAAGCAAAACACTAGTACGTATTAGAAATCCATTATAACTGGAAATAAGGATTAAAGAAAATGAGAGAGAGAGAGAGAGAGAGTTCTTTGTTTATACTCTTTAAAAGGATATGAACCACTGTTTTCGCTTTACAGTCTTTCTTTATAAAATTTTTTCGAAAAGTTAGGAGAAATTTATATGTTTGGTCCCAACATTTGATTTTAGTACCATATTTGTCTTTTAACTTTTTTTTCTTAACATTTTAATTCTTACTTTTTCATTAATTAGCACAATTTCGTTTCAAAATTTAAGTTACAAAGACATTAAATGATAACATTGCATTTAAATATAATTTGTTTCATTCTCGTTTATTAAATTCAAGGGCAATGCCGTCTTTTCATGCCCTTTTAACTGATATTTTATATTTGAAATCACCGATGGAGCTAACTTGTGCTAATGAAAAAACGAGATAAGAATGACAAGAAATAAGGTCAAAAACATATTCACTACTAAAATGGGAATTACGATCGAAATGTGCAAATTATATTTTCGAGTAAGATCATCAAAAATTGAAAAAATATGAAAATTTGAAATTGAAAGAAAACAATAAATGAGAAGGAGCTTGTTACTCCCTTCCTCGCTCCATCGTGTTACCATCTTTCCAATTTCTTCAATTAATTAATGGGAATTTTAAATTAGGATTAATGGGCATTTTAAATCAGGACAATTGTGATTAATATAGTATTATGCTGAATGAGGGCACGTGGGGGTAATGGTCCTCTAGTCATAGACAAAATAGAGTAGGCGGTCAAAGCCAACGCGTTTGGTGGGCAAAGCACCGACCGGACCCATCTTTAAGCTTAATCAACTCGGGTTATAAGGGAATTTTGAAAACTTCTTGGTCAAAAATATTGAAGTACAAAGATTCGATAAAAAGAAAAAAAAAAAAAGACGGGAGTGTAAGTTGGTTCTTCGAGACTCGAGAGTGACTTATTCAGCCCATGTTCGATGGAAGTTAAAAGCAAATTTTGATAAAATTTAATGAAATATATGATTAAAAAGTTGTGGATCTTATGAAATATGTAATTATTGATTTTGACTTTAGGCCTCCTCGGGCAGCCACCCAACGAGCTCCCTGAGCGATTTTCTAATTTATTTTTCCAACTCTCGATTTTCGCTCTTCTTTCCCCTTTAGCCGCGGGTTGAACCTAAAACGCATGATAATACAATAATTTAGATTTTATACAATTAATTATTAATTTGTTTCAACTTTGAAGAAACATAATTCTACAAATAAATTAATATTCTAGTAAAATATTATATATTCTCGGGACCCTTATATATATATATATATATACAAAAATGATCTAATGAGCAC